TAATGGTGTTTGTAAATAGGATCACAAGTCCGCATCTTGTACAGCAATTAACCACTAAGAAGAATATATGCAGTGTGTTATTTGTTGAAACTGTACTTTCGATTTGATTTGAAACTGTCTCATTGCTATCTGTTTATCAATAAAATTTTGGGGGAAAAAAACCAATAAATAAAAGGACATGAGACCAGCTGAAAGCTCTAACAAAGCATACTTGTTCCCAAATACCAACTTGTATCCTTTACATGGTGATAATTTTCCAGTTTTGATTTGACTTTCTTTTTGAGACAGGATCTCACTTTGTAGTCTAGGTTGACCTGGTGCCTCCCAAGTGCTGGATTACAGGCATTCACCACCAGGTCAGGGATGATTTTCTTGTAACAGTGTGATGTGGAATGTTAACTATGCTCCCGAGATAATCAGTTACAACAGTATTTGTGTGTAGGAAAAGTTCCTTTATCTAGGTATTGTTTATTCTGCTACTCAGATGCCTTAGAGCAGAGTCAACAATCTGCAGTTTGCACCTAAATAATCATTTTATTGGAATATAGCTCTGGTAGCCCTCTCAGACTGCTATAACAAAAAGACCATAAAGTTAGTGGCTTATCAACCATAGAAACTTATCTTCATCATTACAGAGACAAAGATGCCCAAGATTAGGGCAAATTCAATGCCTTGGGAAGGTCTTCTTTCAGGCTTATTATAGGCTAGTGTTTCAACACATGAATTTTGTGGACATACACATATGCAGAAGGTAACAACACCACGTCTATTAATGCACTCATCCCTGTGGCTGCTTTCACACTATAACCACAGACCAGAGTAGTTGCAATAAAGATGTTCTGGGCCTGTGAAGTCTAAAATATTTGCTATCTGGCCATTTAGGAAAAAACTTACAACTCAGGGGCTGGTGAGATGGCTCAGTGGTCTAAAGCACCTACTTAGAACAAGCTAAGCAAAAGCACAGCGACCACGGTTCAATCCCCAGCACAACATGCCAGCCAGCCCCGCCCCCTGGTGGGCTGAGCTGGCCACACACACACACACACACACACACACACACACACACAAAAAAAAAATAAATTAAAAAAAAAAACTTACAACTCAGACCTGTGACAGCCCGTCCTGCTGAACATCAGCAGTGATGGCTATGTTCTGTGTTCGCCCAGCACAGTGGGCTGTCCCCCAGGCATGTCCAGCTACTGGACACTAAATGTGGCTAGTGCAGTGGAGAGACTAGATGTTCAAGTTTATTTACTCTTAAGTAAGTAACAAAATGTTAAACAGCCATGTCTGGCTAGGGACACCAGTATCACACGATCCAACTTCAGAAGTACCCGCATTAATTGGAGGTTATCTCCAGTTCTCTAGCTCACAGACTTTCTCCTTCAGTAGCATTTGGAACATTCACATGGTCATTGCCATGTCATGGGGAAATCATGATGCAGTGTGGCCACTCTTGGCAATGTCACCGTGAGCCCAGTGCCTGGGCCCGCTCTGGAGAAGGCAAGAGAACATTCTCAGCACTCAGTAGAAAGTTGGCTCACAGATAGCATTGGTAGCTTTGGTCTGAAATTGAGATGTGAAGGGAACAAGGGAACAAAACAAGTTACCTTTAAATGTTTTAATATATCTGGATTCTCTTCTTTTGTCTAACAGCTTAGTAGACAAACTTCTGAGAGGGGAATTTAATCCTTAGATTTTCCATTTTTCCAGGTAGTCATAAAAAGTGAATACATTTCTGTAGGTGGACAATTTACTTACTTTCCTATTTATATTTAGGGTTCACACCAAAGTACATATAAATAAACATGTTAATAGATTTTCAGCCTTGGAGAGCAGCCATTCAGAGCATAGTTATGGCAATCAGCTGACTGAGTACATTTGTCACAAGCAGATATTTGTCCATGTAAAGTCCTAAACCTTCCACGGGGCCCTATTTTATGAATTAATTTGACTCCAGTGCTATTTCAAATATGGTCAGTAGCTGTGTTTGAAATTTTCTATAATCTGAGACTTTTCTAGACTCCACTTCCTTCTTCTTAATCTAATTCTGTTTAGGTTTGCCAAAACTTTCAAAGCATCTTCATGGAGCAGCAGCGGTTGCAAACATTTCTTGACTATGAGGCTGAGATCACTAAAGTACAGAATTTGGATTTGTCTGGACCTGCTATGACCTTGAAAAAGCGAGCCAACTGGATTTCCTTTATAAAGGTCAGGGGGCCCATGGTGACATTCACCTGTCAATGGTGTCAGCAGTGTCACACAGTTGTCCTGACTAGGGTAGACAATTTGCAGCAGCAAGTCTGTTGGTGCCTGTGGTCCTATGTCCTCAATGGACTCAACCAATTGTCCTCTAGGACCAAGGAGAGGCTCCTTCTTATCCTCAGGGGAGACCAGGCCTCATACACTAGGACCTTTGCCCTTGCCCTGTGTTGAAGTTTGCTGTGCTGATCCACCTTTTCTGGAAGTTACCAGATCACTGTAGCCCCAATCTATTGAGCCCAGACTCTCTTCTCATTGTGAATGATCTTGGATACTTTGATAGAACAAAGAATAATCCCCAAAAGTATAACTGACTTGTATATATTCAACTTTTTAGTTGCAATCTAACAATGAGTATATACTGTGGCAGGCACCAGCAGTGGTGCTACACATGCACAATTCACGAGCAGTGTATAACTGTGAATATCAAATAAGATGGTTTTAGGTCATCCTAAGTAAGTGATTTTCCATTGAAGAAAGTTGTGTTCTAGAAAGTCACCAGAAACACTGATTGCACAGATACAGTCTTTAGTTGCAGGCAAAGGACAAGATTTTAGTCCCCATATTGACCCATGCACACTTTGTTTTGTGTGTTTCTGTTTAAAGACATATTATTTAATGTACACTGTTGATTTGTTGACATTGAAAACTCATGGCCAGTATTACTGTAATCCATGTGTGAATGAAGCTTACCTAAACAACTTTTTCTAGAAGGCATGTCACTGTCTTATTACACTTAGAAGCACAGCACTTTAGAACTCTGCTCAGGGAACCTTTTTAATGATAAAATCCGAATGTCTGTGAAAATGTGGCTCTAAATAGAATGCATAAATGATACTTGTCAAGGATAAGAAGAAGGGAGAATACTGCTATGTTCAGCCTTAGCTGGAAATGTGCCCATTGGGCCACTCAAATTGTTCCCACTCCCATGCATACCCATGAATGACCCTGGAAGGTCTATCAGTATTAAGTTTTGGGTCACAATTTAGCTTTAGTGAGTAGGTAAACTTGAAATATGGATGCTATGAATGCCATGAATTGATTGTGTTCTGAAAGAAAGAGAAGTCATGATTATCATTGTTCATTCCCGCTGCTTGGATAAAATACCATGGGCTGGGTAGCTTATCAACAATAGAATTTTGTGGGACTGGGGAGATGGCTCAGTGGAATAAGCGCTTCCGTGGCAAGTGCAAGGGCCTGAGTTCAATCCCTGGTTCCGCAAAAAAAAAAAAAAAAAAAAAAAAAGCTAAGCAATAGAATTTTGTTCCTCATCTTCTGGAGGCTGAGAATCTCAGATCAGAGTGCCAGCCAGCACAGCTGACTCATGGTGAAAGCCTTCTTCCAAATTGCAGACTTTTCTCCCTATGTCCACATATGTTGGAAGAGACAAACAAGCTTCTCTGGCCACTTTCCTAAGGGCACTAATCATATTCATGAGAGCTCCACTCTTATACACTACACATTTCAGGAAGGTCTCCTCTCCTAACAGCATGACCTTCATGGTGAAGTTTCAACATATAAATTTGTCAGGGCTACAAGTATCCTGAACAAAGTTCATGCTCAGCAGAGAATGGATGGAAAAAAGAGAGAAATCAAATACTGTTCCTCAATCTGGGGCTTTAGCACAGGTGGTTCATGTAGGGGAAGTGGGATTTTCTATTTTATTTTATTTTTTTATTTTTTTATTTTTTTTTTTGCGGAACCGGGGATTGAACTCAGGCCCTTGTGCTTGCCAGAGAAGCACTTATTCCACTGAGCCATCTCCCCAGCCCAAACTGTTTTTTGTTTTTATTTTATTTATTTTATTTTATTTTTTTATTTTTTTGGGGGGGATTTTCTATTTTAGATCATTAGCTTTATATCAAATTTAGATCAAGGAGGTAGATGGGTATAATAAGCTAGAGCTTAGGGCTGAAGTACAAGTTTGGGAGAACTAGCAAATGGATGATATGCTCAGCAACATAACTAATTTTTTAAATACAGTTTGTTAGTGAAAAAGATGAAGTTTTAAATATGGAATCACAACAATTCTGTGTATAAACTCTTTCTCTGTCACTTCATGAATCAAGTGCAGTGACCAGAACTGATGGGTTAGACTCCCTCCTGCTCATGGATCACACAGGACAGGCCGGAACAGGCCACTGCCTCTCACAGGCCAGGAACCAACAAGAACAGCTACGTCTGTCAATGAATTTGTGATCCCAGAGAGACCCTTTCCCAGACCTCGCAGGCCCCAGCCAACCTTTCAGCATCAAAGCCAGATACTAGCTCAGCAAGTCCCTGAAACTTTTTGTTTGCAACTTTTATTGAGAACCACTGTTACATTGTAACTTGATATGAACACGTTTGTCCATTAGATCAAGCCAAAATGTGATCCTTGGCAAAAGAAGATGTTGAGCAGACTCAAAGAACGGAAAAGAATAGATCTATTAATGCAACTCCAAGCAAAGTTTTTGAAGGTAAAACATAAACATGTTTTCTTGTAAATAAAAATTTTGCTAAAAAACTATCTTAAATAAAAAGGAGGGCCAGGGATTAGGGATATAGCTTAGTTTCATGGCAGCCGCCTGGTGAGTGCAAGACAGAGTTCAATTCCCAGTACCAAAAATAATAAAAAAGGAATTTTCTCTCTGAAAAATCTTGGCACGAGCAGGGTGTAGGGCATACACAGCCTGAACTGCATAGTGAGACTCAGTCTCAAAAAGATTTTTAAAAAATGTTGACATGGAGTCACCATGAAGACTTTATTTGGAGCTTTCTAATCTAATTGCCAGACTTTAAATGTCTTGTGAGCTTTCAGGTTAGAATGTCAAAAGTGCCATTTTAGCCCAGCTTTAGCACCAGGTCTTAGTGTGGTCTAAGTGATGTAACCTCTCTGGGTCGTACTTTGCTCATCAATGAAATAAAAATATTGGACCAAATGATTTTTTATTGTGTTTTTTAAAAGATCACAAAATTCACCATCATAAACATTTTAAATATATAATTTAGTAGAGTAAAATATACTCACATTCACGGATCCCCAGCACTTTTGCATCTTGCAAAACTGAAACTCTACTCTCTACTATACCCATTAAACAACTCCCATTTCCTCAATCTCAGCTCTTGGGAACCATCAATTTTCTTTCTGTTTCTATAAATTTGATTACTTTATCACATACACACACACACACACACACACACACACACACACACACTAGACTAAACCATACATATATGTATTTGTATTGGTTTATTACAGCCAGTACAATGTCCTCAAGATTCAACCATATCAGAACACAGAATTCTTTTCTTCCTTTTTTTAGGTTGAGTAATTACCTTCTAAGGATATATTGTGCTCTATTTATCCATTCATCCATTGACTGACATTTGTGTGGTTTCCACCTTGTACTGATTGTGAATAATGGTGTCATGAACATAGAGGTGCAAATATTTTCAAGACTTTGCTCTCTTTTGAATATATACCCAGAGAAAAATAGCTGGATCGTATGCTAATTTTATTTTTTATTATTTTTGAGGAAACTTCATAGGTCTGTGTAGCAGTTATGCCATCTTACGAGCCCACCAGAGGTACAAAAAGGTTTCCATTTCGCTATGTCTTTGCCAACACCTGTTATTCTGGGCTTATTTTACACTGGCCATCTTCATGGGTGTGAAGTGGTATGCATTTCTCTGATGATTAGTGATGCTGAGAATCTTGTCATATGTTTGTTGATGGTTTGTGTATCTTCTCTAGGGATATGGATATTCAAATCCCTTGCTTATTTATTAATCTGGAGTATTTGATTTTTGTGTTGTATTGTACTAGTCTTTTAAGTGTATTCTGACTATTGACCACTTATTGAATATACAATTAGGCAAAATTCTCCCATTTTATAGGTGGCATTTTCACTCCATTGTATCCTTTGATGCACACAAGTTTTTAAGTTTGATGTAGTCCTATGTGTCACCTTTTGTTTTATTGCCTGGGATTTGGTGTCACAGCCAAAAATCATTGCCACGTCCAATGTCATGAAGCTCCCTCTATGTTTTCTTCTAAGAGTTTATATTTTTTAGGTGTTAGATTTAGGTTTTTAATCCATTCCATCAGTTTTTGTGTAGAGTATAAGAATAAAACATTATTTTATGTGTGGATAATCAGTCTTCCAAACACCATTTTTTGAAGATCCTTCTTCATTAAGAGATGTTGGCATCCTTGACTACATTTGAAAGGATTTTTCTCTGCGCTCTTCATTCTACTCCATTGGCCTGTACATAGTAGTCCCTCATTATTTCGTGGTTCAACTTTCATGGACTCACTGTTTCATGGGTCTTCAAAAAATATTTATATAAATTATTTATTGTGGATTTTTCACTATATCATAGGATTTTTCAGTACCCTACAGTGTATGTATGTTGTTAAAATTACATGGGTTTATGAGTTTAGAAAATGTTTGAGAACATTAAAATTGTTTTTAAAAAGTGTGGGAAGGCTTTATAAGAGTGTGGGAAGGGTTTATAAAGCCTTAAAATATATATAAATACTAAAACAAATATGAAATTGCTACTTCACTGATTTTCACTCATCACAGGGCACCTGTAATGTAACCTCCATGATAAGTGATGGGCCATTGTATCTTTCTCTATGCTATCCAGTTTTGACTACTCCAGCTTTATAAAACTTTTTTAAATGGGAAAATTGAGTCTTTAGCTTTGTTCTTTTTTTCAAAATTGTTTTGTATATCTGGGAGCTCCTTGAGATTCCATATGAATTTTAGGATTTTTTTTTTCTTCTGACAAGATCTATATATATAGTTCAGGCTGGCTTTGAACCCACTATGTAGCCCAATCTGGCCTTGAGCTCAGGGTGATCCTTCTGCCTCAGCCTCCCAAGTGCTAGGATTACAGTCATGGTGGGATTATCAATGCCTGGATGGCTGGATTTTTCAGTTTTTTGAAAGTGCCTCAGAAATGTTGATAGGGATTGGAATAAATCCCTAACTTTGTGGTGTTAGCCTTGTATAATAATGTTCATATCGCTCAAGTAGAAGTTCAAGGCTAGGACCATTATTCAATTTCCTACCTCCAGAGAAAAGGGGCAAGCACTCATCTCCCATATATGCTAGACATCTTGCAGCTGTCTGAGGAGAAATATTCCAGGTGTTCTTGTTGATGTGCACTTCTGTATGTAGAATAGCCAGGGTTCCATGGAGTGAGGAGCCTGAGCCTGTATCCTTACAAAGCTTGACCTCTCCCTGTGCTATTCTGCCCCCAGTTTCCTCCCTTTCCTGGTGGTGTCATAATGGTACACAGTTTGCACCCAAAGCTGATGAGTGTTTATTGTTTTCACTGGAGCCACCACATGCAGGGAGGGCCTTTCTCATATGGTCCTTCTGAAGGGGCAGTGAATCTCTTAGACTGCCTCCTGCTGAACAGGGGTGCCATCTCGGGGGTGAGGAGATTGACAAGATGATGGTTGACACGCATATAGTAGATAGTGCCTGATGTTTCACATGATGAGCATTTCATCATTAGTGAAGGCTCACATGTGAGATTGAAGAAATCTTGTGTGGCACCTGAAAGTCATTGGGCAAATGGTCTACAGTCCAGAGTATGGCAGTGAATGAAAGGAAGGTAAGGGATCAGAAACCAGATGGAAAATTAATACATGAGTTATCCTAGGGTATTTGAACTCTTAGTTAGGCAAAGATGTGTAAGTGACAGGAGTTGTGAAGATCACTCAGGTGACAAGGGCTCAGGATCAGGAAAAATGGGAGTTACCATGTGGAGTAGGGTTGTCTGCACATCACTTGGCTCAGGTAATGTGGAACCAGGAGGAAAGGCTGGCAACTTTTACCACTGTTGCTGTCAGGAGGACAACCAGGTGGGGGCCTGTCCATGTATGATCTAATCCTGTAGGCTTAGAGGACTTAAAGTATATTAAATCTCCAGGGAATATATATGGCAACTATTGAATGGTATCTATTGGTTGTGGGAGGCATGTGTCTGTGTGTTGTTCCAGCAGGGACAGGAGGAAGGATAGAATGGGAATATAGTCAGTGATGGGAGGAAGGTTATCAGGAGTGAGGAAGTTGTAAAGCAGAAAAGGTCTCACATACATGAGCTCAGATGGACTTAGGAATGTGAGTGAGTGCCCTAAGAGATGCCCTGAGTTTAGCTAGAGCTAAGGCAAGGAGCTGAGGCCAAGGCAAGTGCAGCTCCACAATAAGTTTGGTGGGGTGGGCTGTTAAAATCCCATTTGCCTCTATTCTCCATTGGTGTTTAGGGGTTATTGGATGTTAGGGAACATGGGAAGGCTGAGGGGTCCTTGAGGCAAACTACTGCAGGAGTAGCATGGGTGGCATGAGTGGGACTGGAAGTGTCCCAGAGTATGTGGTCAATAAGAGGGTAGAGGGAGGGAGGAGCTGGCTGCACATTGAGGTTGGGTATTTAGGATGAGCACTGTGAGGTGAAAGAGAAATGGAGCACTGGGAGGAGATCTCTCCCCATGAGAGGTATGGGGCAGGTTGGATCACAAGGAAATAGAGAGTGAAAAACAGCATCTAGAGTCAAATATATACTAATACAGACCCAAATTTCTTTCACCTCTCTCTCCCCACAGTGCTCATCCTAAATACCCAATCTCAATGCACAGCCAGCTCCTCCCTCCCTCTCCCTTCTTCTCTTATTGACCACCCAACATACACACAAATGAACATCTTTACAAAATCAGAATGCACTTAAGTATTAAAATTCTGTCTGAGTATATAAAGTATAACCAGAGAAGTGTTGTTTCTTACCAACCATAGATGTTCTAGTAATTATATCACTGTAGAATGTTAACAAACAATAATTATATAACTTTACAGAGATCAGAAAAACAGTCATGATGAAAACTAAGTATCTCTAAACGTACACGGCATATCACATAAGTTTTTGTTAGAAAATTGTCATTTGACTGATGACTTCATGTTGGCTTGACATTAACCTCTTATTAAAAATATCTGGAGCATAAGAGAAAGGCATTTTCAAATCTGAAAGAAAATTTATGTTGCAGAATATGGTACAATTGGAAGGCATGAATACATTTAAATTTTTTATGAGAAAACCTTATTTTAATCTTTTTCTTTGAAAAACTTTATCTTTTAACCAATGACCAAATTATTGGGGTTATCTTTTAAGAGACTATGGAGATTATTGGGGGGCTCCTTATTAAAGAGCAAAGTCTGTCCACCCATCTGTCCACCAATTGGAGTCCTGTCCAATAATCTCTTCCCATTTTAGTGAATTTTGTGTAATTGTATTAAACCAATTTTGATATCACTTAGATCAGCTGGCAACCCAGGAGAATGCATCTTCTAAGTCTATATTCCAAAACTCAAATAAAGAGAAACAGGTAGTTGTTCATAAAATGACATATAAACACATAAATACACAGAACACACAAATGAACATCTTCACAAAATCAGAACGCACTCAAATATATTTTTGACCAAATTAAATTATAAGGATTTTTTTTTCTCTGAATGCCTTCAGGGTAGGTGTGGCTGGCTTGAGTTGTGGGGATCGAACCTCAGCAACCTGAGCCTGACTGCTTTGTTGAAGCAGCCACTTAAAGAACTGAGCTAAGGGACAGGTCCCCCCCCAAATTAAATTATAATGACATTTTTGTTTAAAATTATAAAAAACTAGTAAGAACTTTTTGTAGGTAAATTAGTAGCAATCTCTTATAAGAATTTGGAAAACATAAAAACCCCTAATTTATAGTTACTATATAGCACAAGAGAGGCCACAGGATGGCGGTGGCCTATCATGTGATGAGGCACTACAAGGTGGCACTCTGACATCACAAGAGGAGTGACTGTGAGATGGTGGCAGATGTCCACATGGCCTGGAAGATGGTGAAGACCCATCATATGGCTGGTGCCACAAGTGGGTGCTCCGATGTCATAGGAATAGCAGCCACATGGTGGGGGTGGATGGCCACATGGTGCCCAACATGGTGGTGGCTCAGCATGTGATGGGGCACTGCAGGTCAGTGCTCTGCTGTCACAGGAAGAGCGAGCTTACAGTGGGGGTGGCTGGCCACATGGTGAACAGTCACAGGCCAGTGGCACAGCTGGGCGAGTCATGCGGGAGTGGGTGTGGAACCTGTGAGGAGAAAAGGTGAGAGGAAGGTCCTCAGGCACCTAAGTTTTCAATAAGGAGGAGAAAAGAGAGGCAGTGGGATCTACAGGGCAGACACAGGGACAGAGATGTTGCTACTGAGCCTGGAGTAAGTAAAGACACAGTTGTAGCAGACAAGACAGAGTTTCCAGTGGATGTGGGGAAGAGGGTAGGACCAGAGAAGAAGGCAGTGGGATAGCAAAGGGAGGAAGGTGGGAGGGATGTGTTTTCAGAGTCAGCAAAGGCTTTTAAGAGATGTTTGGCAATTTGCCATTGCAATAACAAAACTTTGAAGAGTTCAAAAGTTCCCTCTTCAGGCCATTGGCTGTCACTGTCGAGTTTGTATTGTGGCCAACCATCTGGCAATAAAATATTAGTTGTTTGGGTTTGAGATAACCTCAAAGTCCAAGGGTGCTGAGGTTCTTTAGGAGACAATCCAGTGGCATGTGCTTTGGAAGATGGGAAGAATGTTTCCCATGGTGACTGAACTAAAGTGAGCCAAAGATTAGGGCAAAAAGCCCTATATCTCCTCCTAACCAAAAAAAAAAAAACATCACTTTTTTTTTTTTATTTTAATTTTAGGGCAGGGTCTACAGGGTCTACAGGGTTTCACTACATAGATGAGACTCGCAGTGATTCTCCTCTTTTCAGCCTCCCAAGTGCTGGGATTACAGGTGCGCACCACCATGCCCAGTTTCAGTTGACATCTCAGAGCACCCTGGAGGCAGGGCCAGCACAGCATGCCAGGCATCAAACCCCGGCCACTGCGCTCTGCTGAAGCAGACTCTTTAGTCTGCTGAGCTATCTGGCCAGCCCAAGCCATCACTTTTTAGCTTGCAGTGAGTGTGAGAGAAAGAGGGCCAGCACTTACGTTAGCAGTTGCCACTAGAAAAAGCAGGGATCTGGGGTCCAGATGGACAAGGAAGATAGGGGGAGGGATGAGAGTGGGGTGTCCTGACATAAGCTCATGAGTTTTAGAGATGAGAGGAAAGAAAAATGAGCAAGACCCCACAGTTTTTGGGCTCACCAGAGAGGATTGAGATTGGCTGGAGTTGGATGCATGCTAGCAACAGCAGGCAGCAGAGGCAGAAGCAGAAGGCAGCTCAGTGAGGGAATCTAAAACCAGAGCAGGAGATACCCCAGGAGCTACACTACTCACTGATCCAAGTCATGGCACCAAGAAATGATAGGTTTTATTGGTGGCAGTGGTGGTGCCAGGGCAGGGAAGCAGAAATAAGGGTGAGGGGAAGCCTTTATTGACTCTGAATACATAGAGAAGATTGAGGGTAGGGAGATGGGGGATCTTCTGACTTAAGATAGGGAGCCTGAGACTATGGACTTTTGCTAATGGTGGAGTTTGAGGGGCAGGTTCAGTGGTGAACAAGGAGCTGATTGGGGGCTCCCCTGTGTGCACAGGAAAGGTGAAAGGAAGTTGCATCCAGGGCTGGAGAGGGGAAGGAGGAGGAAGTGGTCATTGGGAAGATAAGTTGTTTTGGGGATTCAGCCATGTTGAATTAGGGCCATGATGACTTAGCAGTTTGTACTCAGGCTGGAACCTATCACCTACGGTTGTGACCAAATTTTAAATGAGCTCCTATATACATGTAAATACTTGTGGTGTTGAATAGATGAATGTATTTGGATAATCATGATGCTTGAATTTAATTTTCCTTTTGAGTTGAATAAAGCCCCATCTAGGGCTTCTTGCTCATGTATATGTGGCCAGTGTCTTGCTGAGAAGAAGGGAATAATGGTTTTACTAACTCCTCCTCCTCCTCCTCTCTGTTCGAAGATTTCTGACCCCAAGCGAGTAATGCAAGTGCTCCAAGATCACGCTTCTAAGGCAAACACCCTGAACCCACATCATCCACCTTTCATGACTCCCCAAGCTTTGCATCATTGCAATTATAACAAAATCTGGGAGAATATTTACAGCAACATCAATCTCTACCAGGTAAGACATTAAGAAATAACCAATATGCCTTTCTGTTCACCCGGGCACCTGGGAGCAGCCCTTAGAAATGTACTTCAGGAAAAAAATGTACTTCAATAGTTTACCTGTGACCTTCTCACCAAAAGCTCTACTACCAACCCAGATTTGTTCATTTTAAGGGAGATTGCATACTTACCAAAAAGATGCATATAATGGGGCATAATAGGACATGCTGTTCCTTCTAAGACATAGACTTAAATGCATCAGTACTAATAGAAAGCTTCATGCCCTGAGGCTAAACACAGTGAGATAGACAGGTATTAAATATGGAGAGTGTTTAGAGGAAAGTAGTTCCTACAGGGCACATTGTAGTAGGGAAAGCCACTCCCAGGAGCCTGGTTTAAAGGAGGCCTAGACTTTGAGAAGCAGAAAGAGAAGGTGGATAGCACTTTATAAGAGGGACAGAAAAAATGGAGCTGGGTATGAGGACACATGTCCTTAAGAGGCTGAGGCAGGGGGATTGCTGTGAGTTCAGGGCGAGCCTTGGTTACATAGTGAGTTAAGGTCAACCTGAACTGCACAGAGACACCCTGTCTTAAAAAAAATCAACAACAAATAAAGCATGATGATGAAGCAGGGACATTGTAAGTGATGGGTTCAAGATCAGCTCAAATGAGTGAAGATTCACAAAGGAATATAGTGGAGAGAAATTATGCTTTATTTGGGGAACTGGCAACATAAGTAAATATCTATAAATTCCAGTTAGATTATGTGTTTTATTCTGCAAGGGTGGTGACATGTTTTATATATAACATTTTAAAAAAAGAAAGAAAAGAAAATTCTTATAGCACTAGGATGTTAGATTAAAAGAGGGAGAGACTGAAGGGAGGGAAGCCAGTTAGGCAGCTATGGCACAAGGTAGGCAGGGAGCTTGGCAGTTAAAGAAGTTTCCGCACAAGCTAGTGGATATTTGTCTGTACAATGGTGACATGTACTTTTGAAGCTATAATTTCTATTACTTGTTTGTTGTTGTGAGGGAAGATTTTGCTTCATTTACTTATTTAAGATGGGAAGACCTGAATGCATTCATGGTCTGAGAGGAAGGAGAAGTGAAGAGGAAGAGGAAGAAGAAGAAGAAGAGGAAGAGGAAGAGGAAGAGGAAGAGGAAGAAGAAGAAGAAGAAGAAGAAGAAGAAGAAGAAGAAGAAGAAGAAGAAGAAGAAGAAGAAGAA